ATCTGCAACAACAAAGCTACAAGTGTAGTAAGATGATAGAGGGGGCTATCTGCAACTAATCCAATAAATTACCTTGGATGCTCCTTGAGATATCATTTGTACATTGATGTTGTTCTTCCGGAACACACTGAATGCCTGAGCACCAAATGGTTAAAATACTATTACGTAGAAAATAAACGGAAAAGGGGAAATTAGACAGCTTGTTCCTGGATGAAAAAGATAAACCTTCTCTAGTATCAAAGAAGAATGTTGCACATTTCCTATGAGAGATATTATTGATCTGTGTTGAAGAAGATTAACCACTGCAATTTTCTCTAGCTCTTCCATAACATGGTCTAATTCCTGCTCAGTCAAGTACAAGATTTGAAGTTTCAACGCAAGGGTCAACGGGAAATAAGGGAGTGCAAATGGTGCTGACCAAAACGAGGCAGAATATGCCCTAGTGCATGATTGCCAACAAAAAATTGGTTGCTAACCAATTAAGAGAAGTATTATAGTATGACGAATTAAGAGAAGTATTATAGTATGACAAATTATATATTTATGCTCAGTTCAACACTTCAACATGATGCAGCTGCTTCAATATAAACTCGGTTCAGTTACAATTCTCAGCTTAGAACCTGAGCTCAGTCACTTAAGATATGGACATGCTGATAGGAGATTAAAGGGAGCTTGAGCAAACGCCATGTAAAAATTATAAAATTTACTATTATAAAATTGATTTAGCTCGACTTTGACTAATAACATGTTAGGTGTATTACTAAATTTATTCATAGGGATGAGAAAGTAGTGGATGTCCAATGCGATAAATTATATGTAGAGGAACTATTTGGTAACTAACCATTAAGAGGTTTGGTGCGTGCATATGTGATATAGTAACCGCCTACTATTAGATGGACGGCTGTGTACATGTGTGCAAGCGTAATGCTTCTGCATCCACATATCCTACATTTTAAGAATTTACAGCATCAGTGCCATATTGTGTCTACAACTGTGCTTCCAATGTTTCCATAAGTTATTTTCTGTGAAGGAAATTGTGAAGACAGAAAACTCTCTTGGTTATGATGGGGATTGTAACATGTTCAGAGTTCTTCTCCATCCACCGAAAAGAATGGGAGCTCACCTTATTGTCCACCATAAAAAAAGGGTCTTGGTGCTCAAGTGTTCATCATTCTGTCAGAATTGTAGCTTTCTCTTCAAAAGTCAGATAAGAGTGAAGAATTTAAGCTTCGGTTATCCATTTATATGTGTTCCAGGGATCCTTAGCCATGCATATAAGCAGAGCAAGTACAAAATAAGGTCAACTTTTGTGGGGAAAACAATATCAGTCATAGTCATCCCAGGAAACGTATTCTTCCTTAAAAACTTATCGACTTTTTGGAAACTCAAGCAATCAAAAAATTTGAAATGATACTCCAAGAAAAAATGACGGTTAAAAAGCTTGCCTGTTGAATTAGTTCTCTGCTCCATAGTTTAGATGGGTCTAAAGTCAAAGAAATACTGACTTCACTGGTGGCCACACAGTCCACAGAGATATCCAACTCATCAAATATAGAAAAAACCTGCAGTTATGAGATAACTTGTGATCTTGTGATTAAAAAAACAGTGACATGATTATCTTATTCGAGTAATGACATGGTATCCTTACCTTTGCTAGGAAACCATACTGGCCAAGCATCCGAGTGCTCACTATATCCAACATGGTGATATTTGATTTCAAGACTATACTGGTCAATATAGCCTGAAAAGAGCCAATAATGGACAAGTTCAAGACCATGGACATATATGCTAATATAAAATATTTTCTTAATTCAAAAGAATGTGTTACCAACCCCAGTCATATCTCTTGCTTTAGTGATGAGAGTACCAGGAGCTGAGGGATTGTACGAATTCTTGACCCTAACCGGAATATCAGTTTCCCTAGCAGGCCGCATTGACTGGGGATGCAAAACCTGAAATTTAAAAAGGGAGTCAGCAATTTGAAAAGGCTAGAATATGCAAATGTGAAGTAACAATTCTAAGCATCAAAATAAACACTAATCGCATTTCATAGTTCCAAAGCTACAGTGACATGCACAAGCATCATATTGAAGAGCTATGCTTTTAATACTTCAACATCAAATTAGCTTGTTTAATTCTTATGTGCAGCCAGAAGTGCGTTTTCGCAATCTCATGCAAGATATGGAAATGGTTTTTTTACAGGGAACCTTCCCTAACTTAGGCCCGATTTCAAGTTACCACTCTTAGTTACCTGAGTTCCAGAAAACCACCATCACATACCATTCTGTCAATATATAACCTTCCATGCTATGCTGCACAGGTACAGTTAGGGTACTGGTACGTGTACGGGCATGGGACATGACGAATTTGTAAATGGTAGGGTACAGGGACATGGCTATATAAATATTTAGATACACGTAGATTATGTATTGAAATTAATAATTTATATGAGAACAAGGTTAAGAATTAAAATTATTATAACATTTTTATGTTCCTTTTATTATTGTGGATTATAAATTAAAAAATCACTAGTTTTTTAACAAGATGTCCAGGCGACCCTTCAAAATCATAATTCGTAACCGAAATATGTCCAATGAGTTTCAAGAAGTGGATGTGAAGTGTAAGATATATGTCCAAAAAATATATGACAAGTGTTTTAAAATTTTAAATTAAAACACGCATTGTATAATTGAGTATATGCCCGAGTAAATGCATGTTTATATGCAAGGAGTGTCCAAGGAGTTTGGGTACGGATATGGGTATGGATATGTGCGGGATACGGGCACGACTTCAAATTAGAAGTACCTAGGTAACATAGCTTCCATGCATTTTTCTGTCAAATTTCTCCATCAACGTTAACGAAATATCAATTATACCTTTAGGGGGTGTTAGTCAATTGGGACATTTTCATGTACAATGGGATAATTGTTAAAGTGGAATAATATTTCGCTAGTGGGATATTTTAGTGGGATAACTAGGAACAATTTTGTGAAGCAGGATATTTTGATAAAATAACGTGGGATAAATTTTTATAATCATGAAGTATATATTTATGCATTTTGAAGATATAAATACTATTTATGTATTTTAAACTTACTATTATTAATTGATAATTGCTTACAAGAATGTTCGTTACTATTAAATAACTTTTGGTTAGACTATAAGATATTGACAATTATTATTATGATGATAGTCTAATGATGGTGATAACCATAATAGGAAATAAGTAAAGAAAAAAATAAAAAATAACAAAATAAATACGAGTTCTAGTTTTTTACCACATAGTTCCAAGCTAAAACTTGGAATAATTTGAGAGACTAGAACTCTCATTTTTGTATAGAAAAATAAAAAAAGTGGGATAATTTTGTACAATTATCCCAATTCTAGTTTTGTTAAAGTTCTGCTTGACTAACACTGTAAAATTTTATTCTAGTTTTAGTTCTATGTGACTAACACCTTAAAATTTTGTTCTAGGTTTAGTTCTATGTGACTAACACCTTAAAATTTTATCCCACAGATTATCCCATTTCTAATTTTAAGTTCTAGGTGACTAACCCCCCCTTAGCTGAAAATTTTTTTGTTCAAGAGAATAGTGTTGTTATATTGTAGGTTTTTTGTGGCCTTTGTTATGATGTCTTACTTGAAGAATGACAGTAAAAGTTTGTTTTCCTTGCCATAGTAATCATTATAATTTCCTTGACTTGATAAAGTTTATGGGAATCCTTAAAAAATGATTTTTATGCAATATATCAGAGTTGCTTAAGATTGAAACTTGCTTTTGAGTTGCCAAAAGAATAGAGTAACCATAACTGTAAAATTTTTCATTGGCACCGTAGGAGTAACCACAACATCCAAGATTACGCTATCGCAAGAACATAAAGCATTGTCCACCTCAATATAATAACTATTATTGCATAATCTCAAAAAACAACCAGATGATCAATATAAAGACTACAGGGGTAAATCTGTCAAACTACAGTTTATTGGACAGAAAATTGGATGGAAAAAGGGCATGGGTGATAATATGTCGACGGAATGGTACAAAGGGGTGGCTTTGTGAAACTCAGGTAATTAAGGCTGATAACGTGAAATAGGGCCTAAGTCCATGTAACAAAATTAAGGGGACGGTACATTTACAAAAATCTACGTCCATCCCTCCATCCCTCTCTCTAACCATGTAGGTATTCACCATATACACCAGCGGATGCTTTAATTATGTCAAATGTCCTCTTCTATAAGATGAGAAATTTGAGGGAAAAGAACCCAATTATATAAAACCCTTCTCCACTAGGTACAGTGTCAACCAGTGTTATTACCTCCTGACTCGCAATCAATATCATATGATGCAGTTCATGAGGAGAAAGATATGAATGGGATGTCTATATTGCAATGATATTTATAAAACATTATCAGGAAGTATGAATTGCATGATATTTGAATTGACGCAATGTATAACTCTGTTTCTATCAACAGATGTAGATCAGAGATATCATAACTGCATGCTTTTAATCTACCTCTTTATCGTCAATGCTTTGTGCGGACAAACTTGGATACTTGGATAAGAGATAAAATTTTATCTCAAGCACAGTTGGGTAAAACTAAAAGCAAGAATAAGTGTACTATCAGTGAGGAACATGATATTGATTTAGTTATCCAAAAATAACTTTTCCATAGATAGTTAAATATTTCTAATAATTTACTTTTGTTCTCCACCTCAGCAGTAAAAAAGTAAAACTCTTGAACTACAAATGCATCCCAGGTTAATAAATGGATAACAAAAATATTATTTAATATCTACCACGCTGTACTGGGAAGAAGGCAGTCACAATTTATGGTTTGTGCTCCTAAGATCAGTACCTTTACTCCTCTTTTTACAATAAAAAGAACTTTAAAAGATTGTGTTAATGCCAGTTCTGAGGTTCCATTTAATTCTCATTCAAATATCTGGAGAACTGTTCATGATTTGTGGTGAGCAGTCATAGGGTGTGACAAAACTCTAAAGCATGTGGACAACTTCTACTTTACCAGTTTTCTTAAAGATGTGGCAAACAATCATGGAGAGCGACAAAATGAATACATCAACGCCCTTAACATTTTACAGCTTTCTATGCACCAACTTCAGATTCTAGTACACGTGTATACCTGTGCACCAAAGTAGGCAAGTTCAGCTGCCTCATCGAATGTCAGGTATGGTACAGGAGTTGCATTCGGACAAATATTAGGATCACATGTCAAAACACCATCAACATCCTTCCACACCTGTTAAAAAACAGCAAACATACATCAACACTATATTTTGCTAGAAAGCATATACTAAATAAACCTAGGGTTGTCAAATGGGCAGTTTTGGGTTGGTCATAAATGAGTGGGCATAATTGTGCTTATTTGTCCATTTATGACCCATTTAGTATTTGCTTCTCACACACCCATTTATTAATGGGTCACTTCTCACCCACCCATTTATTAAATGGGTGGTTCATGGGTGACCCAATAACTCATTTAGGCATTTGACTTTTATATATAAAAAAGTTTTAAGAGTCTATTTTTTAAACTTATAAATGATACATGAAATCTAAAAAAATTCAACAACCCCCTATAAATTTAAAAATTTACAAAAAACACCCTTAAAATTTTTAGAAAATATGAAAAACGGCCTTAGGGGTTTAGAATTATAAAAACAACTCTGTAATTTCAAAACCTAACTAAGGTACATGAAATCCAAAAATTACCAGCATCCCCTTGTAAATTTATAATTTGTAAAAAAACCCTCAAAGTTTAAAAACCTTAAAAAACGCCCTCAAGAGTTCAAAATTACAACACAATCTCAGAATTTTCTAAACTTGCAAATGACACATAAAATTTGAAAATTTTTGGCAGTCCCCTATAAATTTAAAATTTACAAATAACACCTAAATAGTTTTAAAATTTTCAAAAAACATCATCAAGGATTTAGAATAACAAAAACCACCCTGAAATTTCAAAACCTACAACTGACACATAAAATCCAAAAATTACCAGCAGCCCTCTAAAAATTTATAATTTGTAAAAAAACACCCTCAACACTTAAAAATTGCAAAAAAAATCCTCAAGAGTTAAAAATTACAAAACAATCTTATAATTTTCTAAACTTGCAAATGACACATAAAATCTAAAAATTTTCACTAGTCCCCTATAGATATAGAATTTGCAAAAAAACACCCTCAAAGTTTTAAAACATGCGAAAAACACCCTCAAAGGGTTTAGAATTACAAAAACCACCCTAAAATTTCAAAACCCACAATTGACATGAAATTCAAAAATTACCAGCAGCCCCTTGAAATTTTATAATTTGCAAAAAACAACTTCAAAATTTTAAAAATTATAAAAAACACCCTCAAAAGTTCAAAATTATATAAAAAATCGAGAATTTTCTGAACTTACAAATGACACATGAAATTTGGAAATCTCCAACATCCCCTTGTAAATTTAAAATTTGCAAAAAATACACTCGAAATTTCAAAATTTGCAAAAAAACCCTTAAAATTTCAAAAATTGCATAAAACACCAAAAAAATTCAAAACATGTAGATAAACACACTACAAACCTAGAAATTACAATTATCTTCTGTGGTTGTGTTCCATAAATTTCAAACTTAGGGGTATTTTTCATAATTTTACTTTTAGGATGTTCTTTGTAAAGTTTAAATTTATAAGGGAGTGGTGGCAATTTCCAAATTTTGTGTTATTTGTATGTTTAGAAAATTCTGAGAGGTTTATATAATTTTTTAACTTTTGAGGTTTTTTTGTAATTTTTAAACTTGAGGGTGTTTTTTGTAAATTATAATTTTTTGGGGGGCTACTGGTAATTTTTTGATTTTATGTGTCATTTGTAGCTTTTGAAGTTTCAAGGTAATTTTTGTAATTCTAAACCCTTAAAGGTGTTTTTCGCAATTTTTAAAACTATGAGGGTGTTATTTATAAATTTTAAATTTATAGGAGACTGCTGAAAATTTTTAGATTTCATGTGTCATTTGCAAGTTTAGAAATTTCTAAGATTGTTTTGTAATTTTGAACTTTTGAGGGTGTTTTTATAAGTTTTTAGACTTTGAGGGTGTTATCTACAAATTATAAATTTACAGGGTGTTGCTGGTAATTTTTAGATTTTATGTACCTTAGCTAGGTTTTGAAATTTTAGGGTTGTTTTTATAATTCTAAACCCTTGAGAGTGTTTTTCTCATTTTCTAAAACTTTTATGGGTGTTGTTTGCTAATTTTAAATTTATAGGGGGTTGTTGAAAATTCCATGATTTCATGTGTCATTTCTGAGGTTAGAAAGTTTTGAGAGTTTTTTGTAATTTTTAACTAGAAAGTTTTGAGAGTTTTTTGTAATTTTTAACTCTTGATGGTGTTTTTATAATATTTAAACTTTGAGGGTGGTTTTTGCAAAAATCTCAAACTTTTAAGGGACTGTTGGTAAATTTTTAAGTTTATGTGTGTTGGTCATTAGTTACCTGTAAGGTGTTTTCTATAATTTTGAACTTTTAAACATATTTTTGTAGTTGTTGAAACTTTGAGGATGTTTTTGAAAGAATATCCATCTAAATGGGCAAATGGGCGGGTAATAGCCCGCCCATTTATGACCAATTTATCTTTAATAGAAACAATATCCACCCATTTATGACCCATTTAACTAAATGGATGGGTTTGGATGGTTCATTTAGTGGGGGGTATGGGTGGACAAATGGTTTTGGGTCAATTTTGCCATCCCCAACTGAACCCAAATGATTGAGACAGACTTTATGATAAAAGTTTTGTTGTTATCCCATCTTCTACGAAGCAAATAGCATTTATCTCATATATGGAAAATGATCAAAGTTATAGATAAAAAAAACTAGAAGAAACAGGTAAAAATGAAATAATAGATTACACAACTCCAGATGCCAAAAGATTGGAATCCAATTGGTAAAAAAGCGCATTGAAGGCTATGTTCAAAGGGTAAAGCAAATAATATAACTGACCTGTATCTCTCGTAACCCCAAGGCTTTACCAATTGTAGTTGCTGTTAAGTCACTACCACCCCTTCCTAAGGTGGTCACAGAAGAGGATTTCCAACCCTGATGCAGGAAATATATAAATTAATCATTTTCAACTCTTGGTCAACATATAAATGGCATATCAGCTCAGCGAGAAACTAAGAGTTTGGTAGCAATTACTTTTCCCAGAAAACCAGTCACAATTGGAATTGCTGGATCATCAATCCAATCTCCATGCAATCTCTTGGCTACAGCAGGATAAGTTGCTTCAAGGATCTCCGCATTTGTAAAGTCGTCTGTGGTTATAAAGCCAATATCAAATGCATCATACTGCACACAATTAAGTATCAACATTATTAGTTATATAACTACTTACTGATACAGCATTCTAGACTGCTACATAGTGAAGAAGAACTGGCCACTTCAGACCAGTTACAAGAAGAAAATAGGAAATACCTGATGTTTTTTCAACCTATAGTACTTATGATTATGATGTTAGAACATAATAATTTAACGAAAAAAATGGAGGATCGCATAGGCAGCATAGGTGAGTAACTTCAGATGACCAACCATTACAGGAAGACGGTGTTACAGAGAAACCAATGTCTTTCAACAGAGGGTTTAACAAGAAAGACTTGTAAGTAGGGGCAAAAACATGACAGAAGTTGAAGAAAGATAACGTTGGAAAGGAGGGGCACAGAAACAATTTTTTCCCAAAAAGAAAATATAAATAGAATGAACCATCTCCCATCTAAATTAGTTTCGTGGATCATATCTCCAAATCAAGAATGTTATAGCAACAACAACAGGCCAAATCCCAAACTTATGAGGTTAGCTACAAGAAGTCTTTTCTTTGATTCAGCACTATCAAGAGTCTTCGATGAACTTAATCAACCATTTTCCTTTTAACTGCTTACATCCATGTTCTTTTAGGCCTAAAATTCTAATCCTTATTTCTCAATAACTATAATCCTCTCAGTTCTTATAACACACAAAAACATGAACTTGTCAGGCTATTCCACATACCATCTTGGTAGGTTCTCCACATGCTATCAATCTACCGTCAAGAGAGACACAACTCCAACGTATTACAGATAAATTAAGAAGGCTCATAAACAAAAATCTAATCCTTATTTCTCAATAACTGTAATCCTCTCAGTTCTTATAACACACAAAAACATGAACTTGCCAGGCTATTCCACATACCATCTTGGTAGGTTCTCCACATGCTATCAATCTACCGTCAAGAGATACAACTCCAACGTATTACAGATAAATTAAGAAGGCTCATAAACAAAAATTTTCATCATACAAGGAGCTTTCAATCTGATTTCATGTCATCCCTTAATGTTTCTACCTTACCAAAATATCTATAAAGGAAGGCTTAATTACTGACGTGGGCCTGCATCAACCTAGATTTTTTGTTTCTGCAGATTCAAAAAGCTGCAATCTGAATTCCCATGGTGCTTGGAACCTGATGATGTGAGAACTATTTACAAAAACCAGAATTAAAATTTTAATTTATCTTACTAACTATGAAAGCAAATGATATACGTTTCAATCAGATCTAAGGTGCAAATCCCTAGAATTCATATACTGATCAAGTTCACAATCAGGTTTCAGCTATAAACTATCAAATGCAAATGTTGATATTGAATAGCAGAGAAATGTATAGTTTGATGCCATCTAAAGGTGCAATGTATGATACTGGATGTTTCACATGTAAAAATTCAAAAAATGTAGCGCGCAAATTTGATAAAAACACAAGCTACAAGACAAAAATTTGATGACCGTGAACTGCAATAGATATACATGAATCACAGTCTCGCTTGACAGCTATGCAGATGGCATGGAGTCTCTGCATTTTAAAGCAGACTTAAAGTTAGCTAAGCTCTAATGCTGCTTATTTTCAATAAGTGCATATCTCCTATTTGTTCCATAGAAAATATGCATAAGTAACTAATACAACTTTCCTCATTTATATCAATAATGCCACCCAACAAGCTCTCTTAAATCACAACTTTCAGATATAAATATTATCTTAATTTTTATATAAAAGCACTTTGTATTTCATTTTGAAAAGAACATGAACCATCAAGTTACCTGTCGTGCTTTAGCACCAATTTTGTTTAAATATGCTGCAAAAATTCTAGTAGACATGCGTTCCCCAAATGAAACCAGATGGTCTCTTGTACGAAGTGTCAGCTCTTTCATCATGGCAATTTCTTTTAAAAGCTGCTCGAGATCGTCCAGCAGACCTATCAAATTCACAAAACTGTTTACTCATAGTACAGCAGATCTGTACGCAGATTGTGCATGTGAGACCAGTTCTGGGAGTAGATAAAAGCTAAAATTTGATACAACAATTTGACAGTTATAGTTATTAAAAAGTAGTGCTAAATTCTCTGTACTAAAAAAGAGAAGCAAAGCATATAAAGAATAGGTAATTTCAAGAAGTCTCATTGCGTCTTTCAACCTTTGATAGAAAAATGAAAAGGTGAAAATATTTTTTCTTTTTCCGCACTATACCAACAAATTACTACTGACACAATCATGTCATTCTTGGGTAGAGCCGTAGAGGCACATCGGATCTGACCAACATATCAGGTCGACATAGTATTTTTCGTGTGAACTACAATACTCTTCTTATTGTTCATTTATTTAATTTTTTCCTTTACTCTTATCACTTGAAGCTTATAATATTTACATGTATCCCTTGATTGCATTGTTTATTTCCATGCATGACACAATATCTCATTTAACACTTACATTTAGATTCTACTATTTTTAGTAGATAAATGAGGTTAAGGAAACTGCATCAGGTCAAAAATACCAATACTCAAAGAAATGAGAATATATCTTTCTTGACTAAACTATTTTCTTCATGTACCTCACTATCCAACAAGGGACAACCACCACCACATGACCCAAACCTTACATTTAGGACCTCACCAATGCAAATAGGCAACTTCATGTAGTAAATATCACTAATATCACGCCAGACATTCACGTATTAGAGTAAGGAGTATCCTTGCTCATATTGGAAGTTCTATTTGTTTCATATTTCATGTAGAAGACTAGCAAAGCATGTGTCAAAAAAGTTGAAAAAAAAAATGAGCGCACTACTTGTGAATAGAAAAACAAAACTTAGAATTGAGGCAAGTTAAGCGACGAGAGACCTACCTTTGTACTGACTACCGACTACAAGGAGAAGATTCTTTTAGACAAAGCCATTAATGGAAATAAAGGGAAGCCACTAATGGAAATAAAGAGAGAGGCTATCAAGGCTCACCTAGGGGGGTGTTTTTTTTTTTTTGTATTGGGTAGGGGTGGGGGGTTACCAATATAGTAGTGGTGATCGCAATTCTCAGAAGGAGATGTACAGTGAGAAAGAATCTCAACTATCAAGGGATTTGAAGCAAATCTTGATTTTTTATTTGTCAATACTAGCAGCAACCATTTAGCAATATTTAAAGCCATTACTTCTCCACTGGCAGCAGCATGATTAGACATAATAGATGTTTGAAGGGAACATGTCCCCACTGGTCAAGCGCCCTTTTTATGGGCCAAAACCTGAACTCATGCCTCAATGTCAAATTTTAGAAAATCTGCTTTAAATTTGTGGCTAGTGGGATTTGAATATGGGTTACTCTAATATCTTATTGATTTCCCTAACCATTACACTGAAACTCCGAAGGTATGGTGTGGGTTGAGAGTTATATTTTATATTGTAACATGTATAAACTAATATTTTGAGTTTGAGAATCTACTCAAGTTGCAAGTTTAATTTGCTGAAGGTTCTTTTTTTTATTTGTCTGTGTCGTGTTTGGGGGAAAATTAGGGTTACTATCTCTCATAGAGAGGTACCATTTTATATTAATGCACTCTTACAAATAGGTCCTTACAATATTAACTAATTAACTTAATCTATCTAAATAACTCAACACTCCCCCTCAAGATGGGCGATATATGTCAATCATCACCATCTTGTTACAAAAGATATCATACTCTCTAGAACCTAATCCTTTTGTTAAACAATCAGCTAATTGCTCTTCTGATTTCACATAGCTCAAAGTCAGAACTCCTCTATTCAGTTGTTCCTTAATAAAGAACCGATCAATCTCCACATGTTTGGTCCGATCATATCGAACAGGATTGTTTGCAATATTAATTGCCGATTTGTTATCACACCAAAATTGTAAGGAGTCTCTTCTAAACAAGCGCAGCTCAGATAATATGTTTTTGACCCACATCAACTCGCACAGACTAACTGCTATAGCCATGTACTCGGCCTCAGCTGTAGACCTAGCCACCACATCTTGCTTCTTGCTACGCCAAGATACGAGATTGTCTCCAACAAATACACAGTAGCCTGTAGTAGACCTACGATCATCCATACAACCCGCCCAATCAGCATCACAATAGCCTTCGATTCTCAGATGTCCAGAACTCCTGAACCATAACCTCTTTCCTGGGCTTCCTTTAATATACCTAAGAATTCTGCGAACTGCCTCCATATGCTGCCCTCTGGGATCATGCATATATCTACTCACCACACTCACTGCATGAGTAATATCAGGTCTCGTATGGCATAGATATATAAATCGTCCAACTAATCTTTGATATTGCTCTTTACTCACCGGGTCACCACCCTCGGCACACATCTTATGATTCTGCTCGATAGGAGTAGATGCAACTCTGCACCCCAACATCCCTGTCTCTGAGAGAAAATCCAGAGCATACTTTCGCTAAGAAAGCACTATACTCTTTCTCGACCTTGCAATTTTAATTCCGAGGAAGTACTTCAACTGCCCCAAATCTTTACTGTAGGTTTTTTAGAAGAAAAATATCTCATACTTCTTCAATTTTTATTAGAAAAACGAGTACACATAAATAGCAGAGAAAGGCCTCAAATCAGAGATCCCACCAAATCAGGAAAATCCTCAATAAGCCAATCTCTAGACTAGAAAACAGAAAAACTAACTGTAAATCAAATCTGAAACTGTTATTTCAGATTTTATTGAAACTAACTAAAAAATAAAATCTGAAACAGTAATTTCAGAGAAAATCCTAACTTATATCCTAACAAATCCGACACCCCCCCTCAAGTTGGTGCATAGATGTCTATCATGCCCAACTTGCTTACAACCAACTCAAAACTAGTTCTGAAGAGTCCTTTGGTGAAGACATCAGCTATTTGTTGCGTAGATGGAACGAAAGGCATGCAAATAGCCCCACAATCAACCTTCTCCTTTATGAAGTGTCTGTCAATCTCCACATGTTTCGTGCGATCATGTTGTACTGGATTTTGTGCAATACTTATGGCTGCTTTGTTGTCACAATACAACTTCATTGGCATATGTATTGGTATCTGCAACTCTTCAAGAATTCTCCTCAACCAAAGCATCTCACAGACTCCGTTGGCCATAGCCCTATATTCTGCCTCGGCACTGCTCCTTGCTACAACATTTTGTTTCTTGCTTCGCCATGTAACCAGATTTCCCCAAACATAAGTACAATATCCAGAAGTGGATCTCCTGTCAGTAACTGAGCCAGCCCAATCTGCATCTGTATATGCTTCTAAGTTCTGCTGTGTGGTCTTCTGAAAGAGTAAGCCCTTGCCTGGTGTACTTTTTAAGTATCTAAGAATCCGATATACTGCTTCAAGGTGTTTCTCATAGGGTGAATGCATAAACTGGCTTACCAAACTCACAGCAAAAGCGATATCTGGTCGTGTGTGTGATAAGTAAATCAACTTTCCCACCAATTTTTGGTATCGAGTTGTATTCACCATATCACCTTCCTTGTCATCTCCAAGTTTCTGATTGGGATCAATTGGAGTGTCAGTTGGCCTACAATCACTCATTCCAGTCTCCTTAAGGAGATCAAGAACATATTTTCGTTGGGAGACAACAATCCCTTTCTTCGACCGAGCAACCTCCATGCCAAGGAAGTACCTCAAAGATCCTAGATCCTTGATCTCAAATGTTGATGAGATGGAAGTCCTCAATTGATTCATCTCAAGTACATCATCTCCAGTGAGAATTATATCATCTACATACACAATTAGTATGGAAATCTTCCCATCCCGTGAATGTTTGAAAAACATCGTATGATCACCTTGCCCTTGAGAATATCCTTGACTTTTAATGAACTGAGTAAATTTCTCAAACCAAGCTCTTGGCGACTGTTTCAACCCGTACAAGGACTTCTTCAGTTTACACACCTTTGTGCCGAACTTTTCACCGAATCCTGGGGGTGCATCCATGTACACTTCTTCCTCCAAATCTCCGTTGAGAAATGCATTTTTTACATCTAACTGTTGTAGGGACCAATCAAGATTAACTGCAAGAGACAAAAGAACTCTCACGGAGTTTAGCTTAGCAACTGGGGCGAATGTCTCCAAGTAATCAATGCCGTAGGTCTGAGTGAATCCCTTGGCTACTAGTCGAGCTTTGTACCTTTCTATAGAGCCATCAGATTTATACTTGGCAGTAAACACCCATTTGCACCCTACAGTTTTCTTCCCTCTCGGTAGATCAACTAATTCCCATGTGCCATTTTTTTTAAGAGCTTTCATCTCCTCGAAGACAGCCTCCTTCCACTCAGGAACTTTCAGAGCATCCTGCAGAGTATTAGGAATCTCCATACAAGACAATTGTGTGGTAAAAGCACGAAAGACAGGTGAGAGGTTTTCATATGACACATATTTGGACAATGGGTGCTGGGTACAAGACCTCACACCCTTTCGGATGGCAATGGGAAGGTTAGAATCGACGCACTCTGTATTTGAACAAGCCTCAGGTTCAGAACTAGCTGACTCAGAACTCGAAGATGAAGTGGACTGAACATGAGGTAAAGAATCAATAAGGACATTACCTGAAGGGTTTATGGATTCTGGGCAGTGCAAAGGATTGGAAGACCCTTTCTTTTGAGTTATCCTCTGTCGTGAGTAGACAATATCAAATGGTACTAGTGTTGTAGTTTTTTTCCCTGTTTCTTCTTTATTAGTTGTTATAGGGTCATGAACATCATGAGATGGCACTGCAGGAAGACCTGCGTTTTCAGTCTCTAAAACACTCGACCCACTTTCCCCTGGTATAATAAGGCTTGGATTTTCAGGTTGAATAATCAAGGTTGGGGAAAGATCATTTTGTGAATCTTCAGTTTGGAAAAAATCATAAAAAACCGAATCTTTATTTTGGTTCCCCCTTGAAGATGAGGTGTGAAGTAGGGCATTAATTCAAAAAATGTAACA